CCTGGAATACTGTGTCCAGTTCTGAGCACTACAGTTCAAGAAGGATGTTGAGAAGCTGGAGCGTGTCCAAAGAAAGGCAACCAAAATGATGAAGGGATTGGAAACCATGCCCTTTGAGGAGCGATGTAGGGAGCGGGGTATCTATAATCTGGAGAAGAGATGGTTAAGAGGCGATATGATAGCCCTGTTTAAGTATTTGAAGAGGTGTCTTATTGAGGATGGAGCCAGCTTGATTTCTGCTGCTCCAGAGACTAGGACACAGAGCAGTGCATGCAAACTATAGGAAAAAAGATTTTCTCTTCAACATTAGGAATAACTTCCTGAGAATAAGAGCTGTTTGACGGTGGAACACACTCCCCCAGAGTGTGGTAGAATCTCCTTTTTTTGTGTGTTGAGGTTTTTAAAGAGAGGATGGATGGCCATCTGTGTGTATGATTTGGTTGTGTATTCCTACATGGCAGGATGGGGTTGAACTGGATGGCCCTTGAAGTCTCTTCTAACTCTATGATTCAATGATTTTACATGGGAACCCCATTTCCAAACTGCTATCATTCTAAAATCTTTATTACTTTTTCAGTTCTAGACAAATTGGGAGGACAAGATGCTTGCTGTAAACAAGAACTATGGAAAAGGTACATGTCCAGAGTATCTCTCTCTACTGCTGCCATTCCATGCCAAGTCAACAATGCATACAAGGTGCTCCATTTTGGCAAATCAGCTGCCAGCTCACAGCATGTCACACATGGATCACAGCATGGATCACAGCATGTCATCAGACTAACCTCATAAAACAAACTTTGTTATAGATACTGAGCTATATTTAACTCCAGAAATTAATGGCTAGTGCCATTTGTTAACTGTTCTCTTCATACAGAACATATATCAGTCTAGGATCCTAAGGATAGAAGTTGTGTATTATAGGTCTATAGATATAACTAATAAGAAATAACAGAGGTTGATATCATACAGACAGACTATTTTAATGTTTAAACTCTATCTTAGAGATCGCCTCCTCCCATATAATCCTCCCCGCGCTCTCC